CTGAGAACCCTGATGACATTAATACTCCGTTAAAACCTGAGGGTGGTTGGTACTTAGACAAGAAAAAGTTGGATATTTTTAGCAAAAAATCCAGAGACATGGTAAACGAACATCTGCTAAGCTCTGGAGGACTTACTCCTACGAAATGCACTGAAATCATTACAAAAATCTGTAACGATTTATTTACTAGAAAAGATGCAGTGCCTAAAAAACACGCCAAGTACTGGTGGAATGATAAAATTAAACAGATCAGAAAAGATGTATTTAGACTTCATCGGAAGATCGCTTTTTTCGGCCAGCAAAACAGACCTACCTCTATTTTGAGAGAGAAACTTAAGACAGCCAGGCGGAATCTTGCTTTGGAAATTAAAGTTTCTAAGAGAGATTCCTGGAAAAAACTCATAGGCGATCTTGACTCAAATCCATTTAGCAGGGCGTACAAAGCTGTGACTTATCGCATCAAGAGAACCAAAAGACACGATACTCACACTCTATCTGAGATCGAAGTTAAGCAATTTGTTAATAAATTGTTTCCCAAGCACGAAGACACTAAATGGTTGAAACCGGAGGTTCTTATACAGGATATTCCCTTGGTAGAAGATGACGAGTTAAAAGACGCTTTACGTAGATTAAGACCGGGTAAATCCCCAGGACCTGACTTTATTGACCCTGTTATAGTTAAGACATTTATTAATTCTAATTTTAAAGCAATCAAAGACATGCTGAATGAACTGCTGAAAGCCTCTGTCTTCCCGGATATATGGAAAACAGCTAGATTAGCTCTTATTCCTAAACCCTCAACCTCTCCGGATGTTAAATTTAGACCTATTTGTATGCTTAATTGTATTTCAAAAATTTTCGAATATATTTTATATGGTAGGATGCTAAAATTTGTTAAGTTGTCTGACAACCAATTTGGTTTCAGACGTGGTAGATCAACGGCTGATGCCCTTAGAGCCCTTAAGAAGATTTATGATGAGAATAGGTTAGTGCCCCTTAGACACAGGCAATCCTTATGTCTTATAGGTGTAGATGTAAGGAATGCTTTCAATAGTTTAAGATGGAGAGACGTAATCGATAGCTTAGTTAAGAATCTTGCTCCTAGTTATATTGTTGCAATTATACAAAGCTACCTATCTGATAGATATCTTGTTATAAATGGAGAACTGATTAGATTATCATCGGGAGCTGCACAAGGCTCAGTAGTTGGTAGTTTATTTTGGAATTTAGTGTATGATGAAGTTGTTAGGATAAGAATTGACCCATCTAGGATAATTGCGTATGCTGATGACCTTCTTGTTATCCTTAAGAGTTACCCTGAAAGAATTTTAGAAGAGAGTAGTAGAGTAACTAAAAAAATTGGCAAGAAGTTAGAAGAGAAAGGTCTTACCTTAGAACCTGAAAAAACTGAAGCACTTTTTATTGAAGTTCCAAATAAATTTAAAGATAGTCATATTGTGGTCGATGGAGTAGAGATTGAGACTGGAAAATCACTTAGGCATTTAGGTTTTCACCTTAGTAAAGGATTAAAGATGAATAATCATGTTAAAATTGTGTGTAGTAAAGCTAAGAAGTTATCTAATATATTGCAGTCAATTGTTCCGAACTGCTTCGGACCTACGTATGTTAGAAGACTTATGATATTCCAAGGTGTATTGTCTATTATTTTCTATGGTATTTCGGTTTGGGGGAGCTTCCCTGAAATGAAACTAAAATGTAACCTGTATGAAATAACTAAGGCCCTTCGTCCCATGAAGCGAGCCTTATGTATGGCCTATAGAACTGCGTCTGCAAATTGCCTGGATATACTATCTGGTATCCCTCCAACGGACCTATTACTAGAGGAGAAATATAGGAGATCAAGAAAGGATGAAGACTTTGTGGAGATTAATAACGATATTGTTGAAAGATGGTGTGTCCGTTGGAGAGATAGCTCCACTGATGTTTGGTGCAAGCGCCTCATCCCGGATTTAGAGGTATGGCTTGACAGGGAATACGGATATCCAGACTTTTATATGACGCAGTTCTTTACGGGTCATGGTGCATTTGGTTCATACTTATATAGATTTAAGTTAGTGGATAGCGATTTATGTAAATTTTGTATAAATACTCGGGATACACCTGAACATACCTTTTTTCATTGTTCTAGATTTATAAGTGATAAGTTAAAAATTGATACTGAACTAAATGTTGAATTAACCCCTGACAATATAGTGAGTGAAATGATTGAATGTAAAAAGAAATGGAGATGCATAAATGATTATGTGAAAAGAATACTGATAATTAAGAGAAATATATATAACAGTAATAATAATAGATCCCATATATTAGCTAACCCTACCCTTCCGGCCGTTGATATACCTACGGGTAATACCGGCATTTCTCAGAATGAAGATACATGATTTTCTTCACCTATTTGTAATTAACCTTTACGTTTAATTATAAGTACGATAAGGATAAATAGATGATAAGTAAATGATAAGTCTAAAAA